CCCCACCGTTGATTGAAACCGAGACACCCCAAAGCAGGGCAGCCGCTGGCTTTGCCGCTGCCCCTGGTTTCTCTCTCTCTTGCCTGCGTGGGCTCTGAGGCTCTGCGGGTCCCTCCATCGACCTGACCCCCACACTTCCTGCTCGCACTCCCCGGCAAAATGCAGAGGACCGACCCCCGTCTGCTGGCGCACGCGGCGCGCCGGGAGGTGCACCCCCTGCACGCGGTGCTGTACAGCGCCGGCCAGGCCCCGAGCGCCCTCCTGGTCGTGCTGGAGGGCTCCTGCAGCATATCCCGCAAGGCGCAGGGCGCCGCGACCGCGCCCGGCGCCCCGGCCGCGCCGTCGCCGAGGGCGAGGGAGCTAGGAGGCGCTGACGACGCGTGGGGGCGACTGCTGCAATCAGACGGGCGGCCGGACGACGCCGGCGGCGAGGGCGGCGGCGGCGGAGAAGGTTTGGCCGCCGCCGCGGCGCTGCGCCGCCGCACTCCGCCGTCGCCACGGCGGCCGGAGCGGCGCGCGGAGGTGGCTCTCTTGGGGGCTGGCGACGTCGCGGGCGAGGCGCTGGTCACTGGGGAGCCGCGGCAGTCAAGCACGGCGGTCGTAATGTCGGACAGTTTGACGCTGCTGCGCATCGACGCTGCTGACGTGGCGCGCCTGTGGCACCCCGCTGACCTGTCGCGACTAAGGGAGCGGCTGCTGCTGCGGGAGGAGCGGCGCGCGGCCGCCGCCACCACCACCGGCGGCGCCGGAGCGCCGGCCGCGGGGCCGCAGGCACCGATGCGGCCAGAGTCCGCCGCGGCGCGGGCGGGGAGGGGGTCTCAGCTGCCGGCAGGGACCGGGACGCTGTCGGCGTCGTCGGCGTGTGGCGCGGCTTCCCTGCTTCTGTCCACTGCGGGTCAGCACATGCACAAACGGCACCCCTCATTCTACTCCGGGGGCGACGACGAGGTGCGTGCACGCGTGCGTGGATAGTGTGTGTGTGTGAGGGGGGAGAGATCGGTGAACCAGCAAGCCTGCGCAATCTGTGAGCACTTGCATGCATGTGCTGGGTGTGCAGTGTGCATGTCAGCCACTGAATGCGGGTGCATCCGCTTGTTTGCAGGTGGAGTGGCTCCACATCCCCCAAGGGGATGCCCACCTCCTTTGCTCCCACTGCCGTTCTCGGCCATGCCACACCCGCTGCTTGCCGGCAACCGCCATCGACTGCACCCTGTCTAATTGCAGGTGTCTCTGCCGCTGGACACCCTGCTTGGTTCACTGGCGGGGCAGCTGGGCGCCGAGAGCGCCGCCAGCGACGCAGCCACCCTGGCGGCGGCGGCGCACATGCTCGAATCCGAGGCGGCGCACCAGTCCGCCGGCGCGCACCAGGGATCGACGTGGCATGGCGCCGCGGAGGCCCTGGTGCCAGCGCACCTGCAGGCCAAAATCGACGCGGCTCGCCTGCGTGCGCCGGGCTCGCCCCTGTCTTCAAGCTGTGGCAGGCGCCTGAGGGCTTCGCTCGCCGGGGGCTTCCGGGACCATGCAACCTGCGGCACGCATTGGCAGCCGCAGCCTGTGGTGGGGGGCGGGCCGGGCGCCAGCTGTGGCAGTAGCCCGCAGCCCGTCTGGCTTGGAGGCATACATGCATCCGCGAGCGGCGACAGCTGGCAGACGAGCAGCCACAGCCCGTGCACGCCTGCTGTCCAGCAAGACGGCGGCCGGCCTGCCTCGCCCGGGCAGGGAGCTCGCACTCCTGCCCGACCTTCCAGCCCGCTGCGCACGTTTCGGTCTTCGCGGGTGGGAGGCACCAGGGATGGCGGCGGTGCTCCAGCCCCTCTTTGCGGCCCGGCCACCTCCGCCGACGTCAGCGCCGCAGCAGCGGGAGCGGGAGCGTCTGCAGGCGCAGCTGCGACGATGCCGCCGGCGGCAGCGGCGGACGGGCGGCCAGCCGCTGCGGCGTCAGCTCTCATGTCATCTGCAGCTGCGTCGACCGCGGCGCTGGCGGCCAGGGCTGCGGCGGCAGCCGCGGCGTCCAGGGCCGCGGCGGCAGACCTGGTGGTCGGCCTCAGCTTGAACAGCGCGCCCCCTGCGACGGGCCAGCTCCCACCCGGCGCCGGTGCCGGCGCCAACATGCGGCGGCAGGCAAGCGGCGCCGGGGCGGCCCTCGCGGCGTCGCAGCGTGACGGTGCGGGACGGCGTGACGGCCTGTCGCAGGTGTGTGTGATGATGGTCGACGCGGACGTCTGGAGCGTGACCGAGGCGGCGGCGGAAGCTGCCGCGTGGGAGCTGAGCAGGCACACTCTCGGGCACCTCATCCCGGCGAGCGGGGACAGCGCTGGTCACCGGCGGCTGCCAAGGAGCAAGACGAGTGGGCCGGCAAACATAAGTGAAGTTGTCACTGCCACACAGCAAGACGGCAGCGGCGCCAGGCCAGCCAGCATCGCGTCGCCCCGCAGCCTTCTGAAGCCAGGTGTGTGCGAAGAGCATCAGCCGCAGCCGGCGCTCTTTGCGCCTTGGCCGGCACAGCAGCGGCAGCTGAGCATGCAACGCCCTGATGCGTCAAGCGGCACCGGACGGCGGCGGCAGCAGCCATTGCAGCAGCCATTGCAGCAGCCATTGCAGCAGCAGCAGCAGCAGCCATTGCAGCAGCGGCAGCAGCAGCAGCAGCAGCAGCAGCAGCAGCAGCAGCAGCAGCAGCAGCAGCAGCAGCAGCAGCAGCACCTGCTGCGGCGATCCCAGTCGTCACCACCCCCGCAGCAGCACCACAGCGCAACGCCTGCGGCTGTTCCTCCCCTGGCTCTGGACTGCCTTGCACCCGGCGACCCCCTTCAATCAGCCGCGGCCAGCGCCAGGCCCAGCTGCAGATGCCAGCTAAGCACGAGGCTGGCGAGCACCCGGGTGCGCCATGGCCAGGCAGCCAGCTTCGAGCCCGGGGCGGCGCAGCTTTCTCAAGGCAGCGTCTGCAGCTGGTTGGCGAGCGGCGGCGGCGGCGGCGGCGGCGGCGTGCAGTGCCTCTCCGCCTCAGCAAGCAGCCTGGCTGTTGGAGTGGCGGTGCCGAAACC